TAGCCATGTTGATTCCTTCCTTGTAGGTTGTCCTGGGCATTCCTTGGTTCCTTGGCTTACAAACAATCCTCACATGGCATCTGTCTTCCTCCTATATGTACTTGTCTGTGTCTATTCTGGTTTTCTCATAACTCAGAGGTGATTCGATTTAGGATCCACCCCATACTAGGATGACCTTAACTGATTGCTTGATTATATCATATTAGATTGCATTATGGAAAGTCATTACATTACATTATGGAAGGTAATCTGCTCTACATAAGACCAACTGATTTAATCATGTGATTAAATCACAACAGCATACGGTCAGGATTTCAATACATATTTCAGGGGGACATAATTCAATCCATAACACTTGGGAAAACTGAACAATTGATGATGGCCTTCAATCTGTATAATACTTAAGGAGTATCCCAAAGGCTCAGGAATGGGATTCTCTATAACTTCCTAGATAGAAAAATACATAAATATCTCAATGACAGCTTAATTTACTTTAGCTTAATATGTCTATAGTCAAAGTCCATTATCTCTATAGCATCTTTAAGTCAATACACAGAATAATATGTTTTAAATATTAGGGTTACTGGGACTTAGCTTACTGAACTTGGAAATTTGAATAATTTCTAATAAGTTTTCTCTTATCTTTGAATGCAGATTCTGTAGACCACCAAGGATGTTCAGGAATGGTTCATATTCCACTTTTCAAACTTCAGTGACCTGCTGATACGCAACTTAAAGAAAGGAAGAAGTAATAAATGCTATTTAACAATCCTACCTTCCTACCTGCTACCAAAAACAAAAAAAAAATTTAAAAAGGTGGTGGGCGTGGGAGTTAAAGTTTTGTTTCATCTTGGGCTAAGACAGCGGCCTCCTAAGAGTTCAAGAACTTGTTCCCCTCTGATTATTTATGAACTTCCTCACCCTACATCAATATAATATTTGCCTCCAACAGTGTGGTAGGGGGCCACTCTCTGGCCAGAGGACTTCCCTAAGGAAGGAAGTAATGACTGCCATTATGACTACTTTTGAGGCATCTTGTAACAGTGAGATCTGACCAATGCCGACTGGAGCAATTCCAGTTCCAAATCCCAGGCCCTCTTCTTTTTTCCAAGATATCAATTCAGGATTCCCTATATACCTAGCCTGTGATTCTTTTTTAAAATTGCATGGTGCCAAGAAGAGGCCCCTTAATAGAGCAGAGGGAAGTACGTCTGAGGGAAGGATGGTGGTGAGAAATATGAGAGAGCAAATGACTAGCTGGGTGTATAACCATGAAGATAAAAATGGATATATTGGGTAATAAAGATTTCGTCAAAGAATTTGAGCATTTTTTAAAGCAAATGCATATATTTCTGTAAATGCCTAGAAATTTCTAAACTACTTTTGGGCACTAAGTTCCCTCTCACACACACACATTTTGATTTAGGATTTTAGGAATGCTGAATGCCTTGAAGCCATTGAGTAATAGTTTTCTACTCTAAATAATTTTCGTTGTTTGTAATATTTTCCACTTTGTCAGGAGTTTCTCTAAGAGCTAACTTGCAAGTAGGAGCAAGTTATAAAAAGGGCCACACCTGCTTAGAAAAGCAGCAGCTTCTTCATTCAGCAATAAGGCAAGCTTATTGTAAAACACAGCACCTGAAAAGCTAGTTAGGATAGCTGTGATGCATACTGAAGACACCTACCAGCTATGCTGCTCATATCTATGAGAGTGATTTTTAGAGAGACTTTTTTTTTTGTAACATACTTTAACACTTCTGAGTCACAAGAGAAGACACAGTAATGTAAGTAACCTGAAAGAGGAAGATCCTTGCAGGGTTTAGGATAGAGAGGAAATATGTTTGTCTTCATACTCTGCAGTGAGAACCTAAGATTTTCTCTCCTCCGCAGTTCTTGAGGGCTGTTGGCACTCAGGAGGTGGACAATGACCTAGTTTTGAGGATGACATATATAGTATGACATGTTGCTCTTTTGGAAGAGGAAAATGTAACTTAAAAAATCAGCCATTCAAAAATGATTAAGAATTTCCACTTTAAAGATTTGAGACATAAACACATTTATCTGAACCTCTCTTTTAGGAGGCTTCACTTGATCAAAATGCATTCATTCTTCATTCATTAATTTATCCAACATTTATTGAGCACCTACTATGTACCACTCACTGTTCTAGGCACTGAGGATATAGCAGTGAACCCTGTTCTCAAGAGTTCACATTCTACTGAGGAAAGACGGCTATAAGCAAAGACAGAAAGAAATACATGATGTGTCTGATGAAAAATAAAAGAGAATAAGAGGATGGGGAATGATAAGAATGCTATTTTATTAAGATAGTAATAATGAAGATAGTGAACTTAAGAGGTGATATTTGAACAGAGACCTGAATGAAGTAACGAAGTTACTAAGGTGAAAATGTGGGGGAAGAATAGGTCCTACATGGAGGGAACAGCAAGTGCAAAATTCCTAAGGTAGAAACATGCTTAGCAAGTTTGAAGAATATCAAGAAGGCTAGTGTAGTTGGACTGAAGAGTGGTAATAAATGAGATATGCAGAAGATTATCCCAAAGTTTTTGGCTTGATCATCTGGAAAAACAGAGTTGCCATTTACTGGAAATGTGAAGATGGCAGGACAAGCAGTTAGAGGTGGGTGGGTGTGTGTGTACACCAGAAGTTTAAGGAGCCTAGTAAATATCCAAGTGCCTAGAACAGTGCCTGGCACGTAGTAGGCACTTGATATTTGCTGAATGAAAAAAGAAGATGTAGAGTAAGGCAATTACAAAGTACAAATATAAAAAACCAAGTAATCTACTATGTATGTCTAGATATTTATCTAAGCATATTTACATTTACATTTTGCAATGATGAAGATTCACCAGTATATTGGAGATCATCCAACTCCCACACTCTGAAGAAAGGTAAAGACCTGAGATTAAGTAACCAGAGATTAAGGCTAAGCAACATATTTATGATACAGCCAGAAGCTGCAGTCAGGCCTCCTGATTCTTAATTCATTGTTTTACATTACATCAAGCTCTTCTTGCTCCATGGAATCTTAGTGTTTAGGTTCATAATGTTGAGTGAACTATACTTTTCAAGAAATAAATTTGAAGGATTCTGCTTACGGAACCTGGCTAGTTGGAATTTATTTCACAAACCATCAAATGCAAATAAAAACTGCTATATAGGAAGTCATCATGATGTTTAACCCTCTGGCACCTAGTTTAGATGTGTCAGAGACAGCAATGATATTTAGATGTGCATTACATAGATAATGTTGTTGTTGTTAGGTGCTTTGAATTGATTCTGATTCATAGAGACACCATGTGACAGAGCAGAACTGTCCCACAGAGTTTCCAAGGCTCTAAATCTTTACGGAAGCAGACTGCCACATCTTTCTCCCATGGAGTGGCTAGTGGATCTAAACCACTGACCTCTCAGTTAGCAGCCAAGTGCTCAACCTTTGCGTCACTGGAGCTCCTAAGATAATACATATTACTGCATAATTATTCCATGTTAGGAAACAAAGATATACTTTGACTAGTACTATACAAGTAGAAAAACACTCTTTATAGTTAGCCACCAAACTGTTAAAATACTGGATGTATCTTTTGCTATGAATAACCATCTATCTGGTCCTTGAACTGTAAGAACGTACATTCTCTTTAACTTTCAACAAACCAGTACTGAATATCTACAGTGTCCGACATTATACTAGACATGGTAAACAAAATGAATGATGCCTTTTCATCGAGTATACAGACAAAAACAAGCAAAAAATACTTCTTAGAAAAAGCTTTTTTCTTTTTTCTTTTTAGTGCCAACACCTGTTGAAAACTAGCAGGTAATGCTAGAGTAAACCAAATAACTAGATCTTTGAAGAATTGTAAGGAAAGGTGTCCTGGATGGGTAAGCATGGGTTTTAAGAAAAGGAATCAGATTTGGCAGGCAGGATATTCTATTAAAGGAAAGTACAGCATAGAAAGGCTCAGAGTAGAAGCAAGTAAGTCAGGGAATACGAGTCCACACCCCGATGTAATAGGACCGGATCATTGTTAGCTAAGGGCGAGACGGCAATTGGAGGAAAGCCGCAAACACAAGCCAAGTAGTTCACAATTGACAGCTGAAGATAAACGTGCGTGATCAAAATAGAGCATTTACGTTTTTTTGGTTTTGTCACCAGTAGTGAGGCAGATTTTTATATCCATACATCTCTCAGCATTCTTCAGTATCTGTCAACAGATTTAAGTACTTTTAATATCTAATTTTTTTAAAAAGTCAAGATATTTGTAAGTTTTTCTGAAGAAAACGACCCAAAGAGTAGAGTGTCCATTAATTAACAGGAAAAGTCTAGGAGGAGCTGTTTTTTATCGCTTCCCCCCTCCTCCGCTTCCGTGCCACAGGGTGCAGTAAGCTTTAAGGCAGGAAAACTATGTTTTAATCGATGAGATAATGCCTTTAAAGTGCTTAGCAGAGTGGCCCGTAGTAAGCACTCAAGAAATGATAGTTACTGTTTTGACCTTAGACCTCTTAACCGTTTGGTATCTGGTTTTCTCACTTTCAAAAGAATAAACGGGTCACAGATGGTCTCTAAAGCTCCTGTCAGCCCTAACAATTTCCTGTTTCAAGTAAGCATCGAATAAACACTTGCTGAACAGACGAAGTAAACTCTCTCCACGGGGTCAGGCTGAGCGCCCACTCGAGAACCGGCCGGGTGTGGGGGCAGTATCGGCCCGCGGGCACCACACGCCCCGTGTTTGGAGGTGAAGAACAACCCGCCCTTCATCCAAGACCAAGCGAGTAGAAGGCGGGGCTGAGCAAGAGTCCTTGTACTTGAGCTCAGCTCCACCCGCAGTCAAGTCCGCACTCATACCGGCGATGAGCCTATGGTAACCCGCCCCGGGCCCTGACGATAGCCCGAGTCACTTACCCAGTGGGCGGGCCACGTCACCCCCCCCATCCAGCCCCGCCCCTTCCGGCCGTAGCCCCGCCCGACCACAGCCCCGCCCGCCCCTATGACCCCGCCCATGGTCCCGCCCCGCGGCGAGCTCGGCGCTGGTCCTGTCAGCGTCAGCCCGCGGTCGCGTCCACCCGCGACGCTCTGAGGTCACCGACGGAGCCGGAGAGCAGGGGGCGGAGGGACGGAGGGAAGATGGCGGCGGAGGCCGGATATTGGCGCCGCCTCCCCCAATCCTGGAGCCGGCGCAGATGAGGCGGCTCGGCTGGGGCCAGCGGCGCTTCGGAACACGAGCTGGGGGGACCCTGGCGGTGGGGCCTGGCCCTGCTATATGCCGGCGCCTCGGCTAGAGTGAGCGGCGGCGGCGACGCCTCTTTCCTCCGGCACTTTCCCTGTCGCTGTGAGTCCTAGCGGGTGGCGGAGCCGGGATGGAGGACGTTAACTCCAACGTGAACGCGGACCAGGAGGTGCGGAAGCTGCAGGAGCTGGTGAAGAAGCTGGAGAAACAGAATGAACAGCTGAGGAGCCGCTCTGGGGCGGTGCAGAGCGCCGGCCCCCTCGGGCCCGGCAGTCCGGTTCGGGCCGGCGCGTCCACTCCATCCTCCGGGACGGCGTCCCCCCGGGGCTTCCCCTTGGGCCTAAGCTCCAAGTCGGTCTGCGGGGCCGGCTCGGGCCCAAGGCGGACAAGTAGCGAGGAGCTGCGAGAGGCCACCTCCTTGCTGGCGGCGGGCGAGGGCGGCTTGCTGGATGAGGTGGAGCCGCTGCGGCCCGAGGAGCTGGAGCGCTTGTCAGGCTGGGAGGAGGAGGAGGAGAGCTGGTGAGCGCGGGGCAGCGAGCCGGGCTGGGCGGGGAAGGGCCCGGGGGCGTAAAGCGCCTTCCGAGGGTCCCCTTGGTGGAACGCCTCGCTTTGTGTAGCCGGATTCGCTCTCTGGAGGACTCATGGTCTTGCTTTGGCTGCGGGAAGATCAGCTGGAGGTGGGGATTCGAGGCGTGGGCAAGGAAAGGGGCTGGTAGTTTGTTCTTCTCTGGGCTGTGGACTCCCTGGGTACTGGACCCCGTTGGGGTCTATGAGTTGGCATAGCCGGAGAAAGGCTGCTCGCCATGGGTAGAGTCAGAAATGGAAAACTGCTTTGTAGGAAGGGATCGTGCTTTGTGTGAAATACCGGCTTTCGGGTGGTGGCCGGGGCATTTTGGATGTCAGGGAGGGGTCTGCTGGATGAGTTACCACTGGGTGCGGGGGACAGATCAGTCGTCTACATCTGTTTAAGTGGTCAGTGTTTTGGGTCATCGTGAGGTAGGTACATTTCTGGCGGGGATGGGGAGTCTATGTGAATCAGCACTCCTGTACGGGCAGTGGGGTAAAGCTTGCTTTGTGTGAAGAGGGCAGAAGAAGGTGCTGCTTTGTGTGAAGAGTCAAGGGTGGAATAAGAACCCTAGCTCTTATTTAGTTTTTAAACAAGAATTGGGTTCGGGAATTTCTTGGAGCTGCGAAGTGACAGTTGTCACATCAGTCTTTCCATGTAGTCCTTGGGGCAGAGAAAAAGAGTCCTATTGTAAAATCTAAATCAAAGCTGTATTGTCGTAAGCCACTTTTTGGTGAAATTGTGGCCCATACCTTAATATCACTTCTCTAAATAGAAAGGCTATGGAAGGCCTTTTCCATCATATTACAGTCAAAGATTTCTATGGGAAATTCTCTTATTTTATCCCTTTTTAGAGTTTTAATTTTTAACTACAGTATGCCTACTCTTTGTTGAAATGGAAACTTCTGACTTAGTGAGATAGAAGTCCTTCATAGACTCTTGGTATTGCAGGGCTCAAACTTTGCTGAGATAATTAAGAGCTTTGCATTCACACCAGCCTGGGTTCAGGCCCTGGCTCTGCCACTTACTAGCTGTATGACCTTGGGCAAGTTACACTGAGCCTCGCTTTCTCCCTCTACTTGATGGAGAAAATAATGGTTTTTACCTCTGTAGAGTTGTGAAGACTAAGTGAGGTAATCTGTGTATGCTTTTAGCACTGAGTCTGGCATATTATAAGCTCTCCAAGACTAGCTTCTGTTAAACTGAATTATTTAAATCAAGATATATTTAGTGAGCTCTTAGAGGATTTCGTGGGAGAGTGTAAACATTCATAAGTGTTGATCCCCTTTCGTAAAGTAGTTCAGTCTTGTTGGGAGCTAAGTTTTATGCAGTTAAATAAGGTAGGACATATACAGCGAAGTACCAAAAGAATGCTAAGAACAAAAAGTACTAGAGTACTCAGAAAGTGGGAAGAGAATAATCCAAAGAAGTTGGGGCAAACTTTGAGAAGGAGGTGGCGTTGGAGCTTGGGGGTGGGAAAGAGTGGGAAGGCATATTATGTTCTGACAACTGCAAGAGGAGAGTCAGAGGTATTTGCATAACTTCCAGTTAAGACGATTTGAATGACAGAGGTACCCTGGAATATGTGATGTCACGCTTTATTTTATTGCTAAGTGATACCAAATATTATTAGAACTGACTATGGTAGTGACAGTTTTTCATATTAGTGTGAAATCGCATCCTCCCAAAGGAATCCTGGGTATGCATACACTGTAAAAGAACTCACAATCATCTAAATGTCATCACATGCCTTTTCCAAGTGATGATGATAATGATGCTCTTAATAATGAAGATTAGCTGCACTCAACAGCCCATTTTAGATTATGTATTATTAGAACACTTTGACTCCACTTGGAGAAGCTGATTAAGTCTTTGGCTGCTTTGGTTTTTGAGCATAGGGTTTGTTCAGGTAAAGGAAGTCCTAGATACTATGACAGAAGTTTCTTTTGATTGCTGCTTGCTACCTTGATCCTGGCTTCATATCTTGATACTATAGATGTCCTACACTTTTTCTGATAAGTTTTGTGTGAATTAAAAGTTTGATAAATCATATTTGCTTTGGGGTATGTGTTTGGGGCATAAATTGGAGGGAGATGGGCATCATGGATAAGGGAAGGAAGATTCATAGAGTCAAAACCTTTTATTTCTTAAAAAGCTAAGTATCTTCCTTTCTATATCTTCTACCCATTGTACCTTCTTTTTCATCTACAAGAATGTTTTTCCCCAAGTGTATACCACAAAATGCTAGTTCTGAATGTGTCAGTAAATATCTGAAAAATAGTGGTGGGTTCTGGGATCAAATAAATGTGGGAAAATTAAGGTTCAGCAAAAATAAATGTTTCTTTAATGCTGAACCTCTCTGATATGCTAATGTGTACTCAATATAGTAAATCGCTAAGAGGTAGTATTTGTTTCCTAAATTTATTTGCGCTCCCAGAGAACTAACATCCTATAGAACATACTTAGAAAACGATGTTGTTAGATAGATCAGTGGTTTTCACACTTTTTTTTTTTGATCCAGCTGCATGGTAAGAAATACATTTTACATCACAATCTAGTATGTAGGTGTATAACTGAAACAAAAGTTTCACAAAACTATAGTTACTTTTAGTACATGTGATACACTGATGTTTTCTATTCTGTTTTCATTAGGGGAAAAAATGCATGTTACAATCCCCTAAACTGATTTCATGACCCGTTAGTGGATTGTAACTCTCAGTTTGAAAATACTGTTCTAGAGCAACACAGAAAAGTCTAGGAAAGGGAACTAACATTACTGTGCATCATAGTGTGTCAGGCTGTTCTAGGAAGCTTATAAACATTTTTGCATTTAATTTTTATCCCTTTATGAGGTAAGGTGTCATAGGTAAGGAAACTTAATCTCTTTCTAAGCGTCAGATAACATACAGTAAATGATGGAGCTAGGATTTGAACCCAAGTCTTCTGATATCCAAAGCCTATGCTGTTCCCACTGTATTTTGCTTTTTCTGAGTATAACCCCCTTCCACATAAGTAGCCTTTTCAAATATTTGAAGACGGTTATCGTAACTCCTTCCCCCACCACACACTCTGAGCATTCTCCTCTTTTCTCTTTAAAGTTAATAATCCCAGTTGATTTAACTCTTCTGTAGATAATGTAATCCTCTGATCCTTCAACCTTCATGGTCATTTTTCTCTTCAGTTGCTCATTGTTATTAAACATGGTACCCAGAACTGCATTCAATATTTTAGATGATACTTGACAAGACAGTGCTAGGTATACCTTGCTTGAGCTAAATGCTGTTATTTTTTAAACCAACTATTTAATTCACACTTTTGGCTTCTGTTACTTATATGAGCTAGTAGTGTCAACTAACATCCCCATATCTTTTATATATAAATTGTTAAATTGAATCTCCCTAACCCTGTTTTTCTGTAGTGAATTTTTTTTTAGCTTAAGTATTAGGCTTTTAAATTTCATTTTGTTAGTCTTGATTTAAGCATTTAACATTATTCTTCCTGATTTTTTTTTTGTCATCTTCATATTTGGTAGTCATGCCTATTAGGTAATTCAAGTTGTCGATAAAAGTATTAAATTACAGTAAAGAATGCTACTTGACTAGACTCCCTTCAAGGTTAACATCAATCCATTAATCAGCACACATTGTGGTTGTTTGATAACTATTAATTCCAGCTATTATTATCAGACTCATTTAACATTTTGTCCGTGTAGATATTATGAAAGATTTTGCCAAATGCATTGCTGTAATTAAACTAGACTCTGCCCACAGTGTTCTCACCTGTAGTTAAGTAAACCTATTGAAATAGAAATTGCAGTTAACTTGGTTTGACTTGTACATGGTGAATTCTCTGGCTTTTATGTAATCATTTTTTCCTTTTCTAATTTTTTTTAAAATCGAATTTTGAATTTTGCAAGTAATCAGTTTGGTCTGGGATTTCTAAACCACCAGTTGATGTCACATTGACTCCAACTCGTGGGGACCCCGTGCGTGTCAGAGTAGAACTGTGCTCCACAGGATTTTCAATGGCTGATTTTTCAAATTTCTAGATACTACTAAATTCTCTCTTTAGACAGTGTGCATCCTAGCCTGGTGAGTAGCATCTAGGGTCTGAAAAGATTGCAAGCAGCCATCTAAGATATAACTATTGGTCTCTTCTCATTTGGAGCAAAAGAGAAGGAAGGAAACCAATGACTGAAAGACAAAACTAGTTTATAGAACTAATAGTCTACAGAGTGGCCTCACCTGCCTTGAGACCAGAACTACGTGGTGCCTGGCTACTACTACCAACCGTGCTGACCAGGGACTCCGTAGATGGTCCCAGACAGAAAGGGAGAAAAATGTAGAACAAAACTCAAATACCTAAAAAAAAAGGCCAGACTTACTGGACTAATGGAGATTAGATGAGCCCCCAAGGTTATTGCCCTGGGATACCATTTAAACTTGCAACTCAAATCACTCGCAGAGGTCACCTTTTAACCAGATGACAAATTGACCCATAATATAAATAATATCACCCATGAGTATTGTGCTTCTCTAAATGAAACCAAACAGTAAACATTTTTCCTAGACCAAAAATGAGAAGGTAATGGGGGACAGGGAAGCTAGATTAAGGGAAATAGAATAACCAGAAAGGAAATAATGAGAATTCTGATGTATTATGGAAAATGTAACCAATGTCATTGAACAGTATGTATAGAAATTGTTAAATGAGAATCTAATTTGCTGTGTAAACTTTGACCAAAAATATAGTAAAATATTTTTAAAAATTCTCTCTTTAGGACTTATCTTATTTTCCCTTATCCAGCTTTTTAATCCTGCCCTTGTTCTCCATGAGATTTCAGATCGACAATGATTCTGTGATAAAAATTTCTATTTGGAGCAGTAGACCTGAACCCATTTCAAGCTACATGTTGGCTTATTCTCTGTCACTTTGTCTCATTTGCACTTAATTT